GAGGTCCAGTGCCTGGGGGGGGAGTCAGGACGGTGGGGTCGGGGTGCCCAGGCCGGGGGGCGGGTGGTGGGGTCGGGGTGCCCCCCACACCCCCGCCCGCCCACACCTGGATGACGTCGCAGTCGCCCAGCGTGAACAGCAGCTCAGGCTCCTCCTGCACGCGCGCCCCGTCCTCCAGCGACATCTGCAGCCGCACCGTCACCACCTGGCCCTTGGTCGGACGTCCGGCCCCGGGCGGTCCCGGTACCAGGGTCTTCTTCCTCAGCAGCCCATTCCCTGCCGGGCCGACACCCGCGTCACCCGGCTGCCTGCCCCGCCGGGGACGGGGGGGGGGGGGGGGACGGGAGAACGGGTCCGCCCCTCAGGCCCCCTCAACCGCCCCAGGGCTGCCCTGCTGCCACCCAGCAACCCAGGGCAACCCTGCAGTGGGGCAGGTTTGCTGGGTGCAGGCACAGCGCCCTCCATGGAGCTGCACCCCAGTCCCAACAGGACAGGCCCAGGGGTCAGGCTTCACCGGGATCCCCTCAGTAAATGGGGGACCTGGTAGAGCCCTTGGCGAATGGAGGAGTTCTATCCACTTCAGAAAAGCAGTGTTCACAATGCAGTGGCGGATGGCTGGCTGGGGAGCCTGGCTTCATCCCCCCGATAGCCAGGAGTGTCTGGGCCTCAGTTTGCCCAGGCATAAAAAGAGACAGGGGGTGCAGCCAGCAGCAACCTTGGGTTTGTACAATACCTGCCAGACCTCAAAGCACCACACAGAGCAACACCCTGGCAAACAATAGCAGTCTTCCCTCACCCTCCACACCAGCCCAGGGCTGAGACCTGAGCTGAGGATCGTGGTTCACAGCCACTTCGGGCAGGAAAGTCCCCTTGAGACTCCTATCTCCAATGAGTCACTCAAAAACCAGAAGAGGTAGAGCACTAGCTTTGAGCAAAACAGCTCAGGGACAGCATCCAGGCCGAGTTCAAGCCTTACAACCAACAGAAAAAAAAAAAAAAAAGTTGGAAGTGGAGCTATGGCTCAAATGAAACAGCACCAACCTGGAGCGAAAAAAGCTCAGGGGCTGGGAAGGTGGCTCAGTGGCAGAGCGCTTGCCTTGCATGCATGAGTCCCTAGGTTCGATTCCTCAGCACCACATAAGCAGAAAAAGCCAGGAGTGGCGCTGTGGCTCAAGTGGTAGAGCGCTAGCCTTGAGCTGAAGAGCTGAGGGACAGCGCTCAGGCCCAGAGTTCAGGCCCCACGACTGACAAAAAGTTCAGGGACAGTGCCCAGGCCCTGAGTTCAAGCCCCAGGAGTCACACACAGACATAATGCTTTGCATAGGATAGGGCTGGGGGCACAACTCTTGGTAGAATGCCAACCAAACAAGCCTGAAGACCCAAGTTCAAACCCACTGACAAACACAAAAACAAAGAAGCTTTGTAACTTGCTAGTGCAATTAAGAAGCCATCAGCAACCGCTCTGATACCCCGGGGGAGGTGTCTCGGGTTGTGTTTGGAGATGCTGGGCTGGAACACAGACCTCGCATGTGCATGGCCCGGCCTCTCGGGTATCAGAATGCAAATACTCCAGAACAAGCCCTCCTGCTCTGCACCCGTGGGGTCACCGCCCCCCCGGTAATCCCAGCGCCCACGTGACAGCTGGACACTGAGCAAACATGTGTTATGGGGGGGAGAAAAATATGACTCGCCGGCTGACCTCTCACCTCGGGGCAGGCCCGGGCCGGTGCGGCCCTCACCAGTTACAGGCCAGCATGGACGCTGGAAATTATACAACCACAACAAAGACACCAACAAGCTCCTGGCTGTGAGGCTCTGAGCAGGTGACTCAGCTTCTCTGGGCTGCTGCAAACAGCGCTCAAAACAGTGCTGGGAGACGCAGCAAGAAGAATGACAATGACACACTGACACACACACGCACGCGCACACACACACAGAACAAAGTGCACCAGCCGTGCTGTGTGAAGTAGTGGCCATCCTCACTGTGCGGGACTTGAACCTCTCACAGAGGAGGAGGCTGTGCCCGGTCCCTCCCTCCTGTCCTGTCCCTCCCTGCCCCCCACTCACCCAGGATGTCCAGCCACTCCTCAGGGGCTGGGGCTGGCGCTGGCTCCAGCTCCAAGGCTGCCAGGAACTCTCGGGCCAGGGCTCCGGGCTGCTCTGTTTCCTCTGCTGCTGGCTGTCCCATGTCCTCAAGCGGCGGCAGCTCGCTCAAGTCCCCGTTCTCTTCTTCCTCCTCATCTTCCTCCTCCTCCCCTTCTGCATCTTCGACGCCATCCAGCACCTCAAAGTCCTCCAGTGGAGGGACTCCAGTGGCCGGCGGGGCAGCAGGCTCAGAGGGCTCGGCCCAGGATGCCATGCTGGGGACGGGAACTGGCCCTGGGGACAGAGGCGGATGGGGGTCAGACGCCATGGAAAATGCTCTACTGCAGCCACTCCGTGCTTTGGTACAGCTGGCTGTATGACTCAGTTTCCCAACTCCACAGCTGCCTGCAAGCAGGCTGAGCATCAGATCCTGAGCACCTGATTCAGGAACCCTGACCTGTCAGTTCATCTTCGTGTGTGAGCGTGCCTGTGTGTGTGTGAACTCAGGGCTTCAAGCTCTCCTCTGGCTTTTTCATTCAAGGCTGACACTCTACCACTTGAACCACAGCTCTACTTCCTGCTTTTTGCTGGCTGAAGCCTCACACACCTCCTCGCCCCGGCTGGCTTTGAACCTCGATCCTCAGCTCTCAACCTCCTGAGAAAGCCGGGATTACAGACGTGCAGCCCAGGAACGAGGAAATAGGCCACTGCTGCACAAAGGATGCCCAGGCCAGAGGGGCAAAGCCACTGGCACAAGGTCACACAGCGAGCCGTGCCCTGGGGCTGCAGGGTCCGGAATCCAAGAGGGGTGAGGGCGGGGTGCAGCCCCTGACACCGGCCCCCCCCCCGCCAGGCCGGGCCGGGCCCTGGGTCCCCGAGCTGTCCACCTCCGGCCTAGGCTTCCTCCTCCCAAAGAGGCCCCCGCCCCAAGACCCGAGTGCGGGTGCGGAGCGCCCCCCCGCCCCCG